GGGGCCCCCCCCCCCCCGGTGCTCACTGGGGCAGGATCTGGTAGAGCAGAGCCTCAGCCTTGCGCTTCTCCTCCAGGTAGGCTTGGGTTCGCTCCTCCACCAGCTCCTCCAGGTTGTTGGCGTACTGCTCCATGCGCGACAGCAGGTTGTCCAGGATGTTGCTGCTGCTCTCCCTGCGGGCAGGGGGTGAGCACCCACCCAGGGACCCTTTTTTGGGGGGGTTACCCATCACCCGCCCCGGGGCGGGGGGAGGGGGAGGTACCTGTTGAATTTGCGGAGCTGGACCTTGATCTGGTTGAAGTCGGGGCGCTCCAGGACGTCCTCGGCCCAGCAGTGCTGCATCAGCTGGCCCAGCTCCTCCATGTGGCACCCCACGTTGGCCGAGGGGCGGAAGCTGGGGCGCTCCTCGCTCTTCACCCGCTCGATGATCTCTACAGGCCCAAGCACCCAGCCGTGGGTCCAAGCACCCATCAGCGTGTCCAACAACCCATCAACTGGTTCAAGCACCCACCAGCAGGTCCAACCAGTGGGTCCGACAACCCATCAGCTGGTCCAGTAACTCGTCAACAGGCCCAAGAACCCATCACAGCAGGTCCAACAACCCATCAGCAGGGCTAAGCACCTAGCACAGTATGTTCAAGCACCCATCAAGCAAGGCCAATCACCCATCAGCTGGTCCAAGAACCCATCAGCAGGTCCAGTAACCCCTCAGCAGGTCCAAGCACCCACTAGGAGGTCCAAGCACCCATCAGCAAGTCCAACAACCCATCACAGCTTGTCCAAGCACCCATCAATTGGTTCAAGCACCCAACAGCAGGGCCGATAACCTGCCATCAGGTCCAACTAGTGGGTTCAAACACTCATCGGCTGGTCCAAGAACCCGTCACAACAGGTCCAAGGACCCATCAGCTGGTCCAAGCACCCATCAGCTGGTCCAACAACCCATCACAGCATGTCCAAGCACCCATCAATTGGTTCAAGCACCCAACAGCAGGTCCAACCACCCAACAGCAGGTCCAACCACCCATCAGCTGGTCCAACCACCCAACAGCAGGTCCAACCACCCATCAGCTGGTCCAAGCACCCAACAGCAGGTCCAACCACCCAACAGCAGGTCCAACCACCCATCAGCTGGTCCAACCACCCCCACCCAACAGCAGGTCCAACCACCCAACAGCTGGTCCAACCACCCATCAGCTGGTCCAACCACCCAACAGCAGGTCCAACCACCCATCAGCTGGTCCAACCACCCATCAGCTGGTCCAAGCACTCAACAGCAGGTCCAACCACCCAACAGCTGGTCCAAGCACCCATCAGCTGGTCCAAGCACCCATCAGCTGCTCCAAGCATCCATCAGCTGGTCCAACCACCCAACAGCTGCTCCAAGCACCCAACAGCAGGTCCAAGAACCCCCCACAACAGGTCCAAGACCCCATCAGCTGGTCCAAGCGCCTCTCAGTGGGGCCAAAAACTCATCAGGTGGTCAAACAACCCCTCAACAGGTCCCTGACCCCCTCCTGCACACCTTTGGGGCTCAGGTCCAGCCCCTCCACGTAGAAGACGCCGTTGCGCAGGGCGATCTCTTGCAGGATGATGCCGAAGCTGTAAACGTCGCCCTTCTGCGTCCCGCGGGCCGGCGGCGACTCCATCCGCAGCAGCTCGGGCGCCGTCCACAGCTTCTCTGTGGCACCAGGGAGGGGGCTCAGGCCGGGCAGGGCCCCCGGGGAGGGGTTACTCCCAGGGTCGGGGGTTGAGGGGCGCTCACTGGCGAAGAGCGCGTGGGAGTCCTCGCCGTCGGGGGCCACGCGGAAGCTCTCCAGCCCGTAGTCCGTGATCTTCAGCACGAAGCGGCTGTCCACCACGCAGTTGGAGGACTTGAGGTTCCCGTGGGAGACGATCACCCCGTTGTGCAGGAACTGCATCCCCTGGCAGGGCCGAGAGTGGTCAGAACTGGTTGTCCCCCAACTTCCACGGGAACGGGGGACCCCTGTGGGAACTGGGTGCCTGGTGGGAACCGGCTCATTACCTTGACGATGTCATGGGTGAGGGAATAGCGGAACATCCAGTCCAGCGTGATGCTCTCGTTCTCCAAGATATCCTGGCGACACGAGGGTCACATTGTTGGCCCCCCACCATGGATGGGCCCCGAGGTTGGGGACGGAATCCATCTGCCCGCTGCGGTCGGCTCCTTCCCGCTCTGGGCAGCCCCGACGCTGGGTGATGGGCACGGGAGGGAGAACGTCCGGCCCCGGGTGGGTGTCGGGGAGCCGGGACCCCGCCGGTACCTGGAGGCTCCCACGGGGGCAGTACTCGGTCAGGATGCAGATGTTGGGGGGGTCGGTGCAGGCGCCGATGAAGCGGGTCAGATGCTCGTTTTGGACATCCCGCATCTGAGGTGGAGCAGGGTGTGGGACCAGGTTTGTGGCCCTTCCCTGCCCGCATAGGGGACACTGAGCTGGTCACCCCCCTCCCACCGCGCGGCGCTGAGCCGGGCTCCACCTACGTGCTTCAGCTCGAACAAGACCTTGCGTGTCAGCTCGATGCGCTTGCGGTTGAGGTGCTTCACCGCCACGAGGTTGCCCTGGGGAGACACGGGGTGGTGGGTTCCCAGCAGGGTGAGGGGTTCCCAGTGAGGTGATGGGTTCCCAGTGAGGTGATGGGTTCCCAGTGGGGTGGTGGGTTCCCAGCGGGGTGATGAGTTCCCAGTGGGGTGATGGGTTCCCAGTAGGGTGGTGGGTTCCCAGTAGGGTTGTGGGTTCCCAGCGGCGTGGTGGGTTCCCAGTAGGGTGATGGGTTCTCAGCGGGGTGGTGGGTTCCCAGCAGGGTGATGAGTTCCCAGCGGGGTGATGGGTTCCCAGCAGGGTGGTGGGTTCCCAGCAGGGTGATGGGTTCCCAGTAGGGTGATGGGTTCCCAGTGGGGTGATGAGTTCCCAGTAGGGTGATGGGTTCCCAGCAGGGTGGTGGGTTCCCAGTAGGGTGATGGGTTCCCAGCAGGGTGATGGGTTCCCAGCAGGGTGATGAGTTCCCAGCAGGGTGGTGGGTGCCCAGCAGGGTGGTGGGTGCCCATCCCCACTCCCACCCCCCCATACCTTGTAGTACGCCGTCTTGGCGTAGACCTGGAACTGCCCCTCCGTGGTCATCAACGAGCCGTAGTTGGAGCCCCTCTGGGAGAAGGGACATGGGGTGAGCCCGGTCCCGGGTCCCCGTCCCAGGGCTGGGGACGGGCCGGGTGCTCACCAGGGAGAGGGTGAGCTTGCTGCCGGCGCTCCGGAGGTGTTTCTCCAGGCTGCTCATCTGCACGTCTTCCCAGCGGACACGCCACAGCTCGGCCTCCAGCTCCTTCTCCAGCTGCAGCTTCCTGCGCCGGGAGGGCAGGGTGAGACCCCCCGCGTGTGTCCCCCCACCTCCGGGGACAGCGGCTCAGCCTGAGGGGTGTGGGGGGGTCACCCTCCCCGACCCTGGCACCCCCACCTGTAGATGAAGAAGGAGGTGACGGTGATGGCCAGGAGGATCAGGCTGACCACGAGGGACAGGACCTCCAGGGTGGACAGGCTGGCTGCACAGCGAGAGGAGGGGCGGTGAGGGGCTGGCGGGTGCCTGGGGCGGGGGTCTCCTGTGCGTGTGTGTCCCCCCCCCCGACACCACTCACCTTTGCGGCACAGCGGGTCGCTGTTATCGAAGCCGCAGGGGGGGACGTCAGAGGGGACCACGTTCCCCGGCCAGTGGATCTCACGCCCCGGCACCATCTGGATCTTCTTGGTGGTGCCGTTGCAGTTGGCCACGATCTTGGAGGGGTTGGGGTGGGGT